TTTATTTTTTACAGCTTTTTATATGTCGTTACTTTTCATCTTTTTTCAAATATATCTAAGACAGTTTTTGGGACTAGTCATATATAATTTTGTAGAGAATTTCAAGCGCTATCTTTTAGTATAAAAGGATGTCCCGATCTAATGGATAATAGAAGAGTTATACTCAAAATACGAATGGTATAATTTATTCTGGGACACCCGTTATTTCTGTTCTCGAGATATTTTGTCCTAGAGTTTTTCTTTTCTGTTTCTGGTGTCGACAATAGTATATTATGCACGACTTCAACCTCTGATTTCCTAAGCTGCTAAAAAGCAATCGTACTGTTTCTAGAAACTGCCATAGAACATCGATTGACTCTATGGCATAGGCAAAAAGAATTATAGATGTGAAGAACATTTTTTTAATTCAATATTAAAGACGCTATTGAAATTAATAAAAAGAATGTTTATATCAGGTTTATCTTGTTTAAATATTGTAAAACAAAAAAAAAATCTGTCAATTGACATGGCATGCTTAGTAAGAATTAAAATGTCAATGTCACGTAACGAGAATATTATATGTTTTCCATCAATTCACATTAGCAAATATTATTTCATGTTACATTAATCACTAGAATTTATTTAGCAATATTTGTTTTAGTTCATATTATTAGAGTTGTATTTCAATAAGAAATGTCAGTTAATTCAATACTGCATTTAAAAATAATTATTCAATTCTATTCAAAGAACTAGTTTAGTATAGATGTACAAATGTCGGCTACAGCTTGATTGCGGACCAAAGTTCAGCCCTCACCCACACTGTCGGCCTTCTAATTGTTTTGATTTTTGTCCGCAATTAAGAAGACACGCAAATGTCTATGTATTGCGGTGAGATGTGTATTCTTAAAAATATGTCAAAGAAAACTTGATAGATTTTCGAATAGCTACCTAATAATATCGAATATGCTATTAAGGTTGTGATGAATTCTATCGATTTTATTTATACTTCGGCCAATCTTAGTTATTTCAAATATATCTCAAATTAGTTAAGTTGTAAATGTCAGAAATCTGTTTTATAGGAGATATGAACCAGTTTCGATTCGATTCAGTAATATATGACTTAGTTATAATACAATGTACTAACTAATTTCAAAGTAAATTACAGAACATTTGAATGATGATACTCTGTCGAAATGCTTTGATATAACAAAGTTCTTATATATCAAAACTGCTTTAAATTATTCAAATAAGTTAGCTTTGAATATATATAAATGTTTTCAAAGAAATGGATCATGAATACACTTTATGCATCGTTACGTTTTCCTTTTAACGAAATACTCTTCAATAAAATCCGAATTTAATTAAAAAGCACTTCGGAGCTTTTCCAGAATGTGCTTGATTTTCATCCTTTGGTTTTAATGACTAATATTCACCTTTAGATTATTCGTATTTGCTTAAGAAAAAGATAATTTTCTTTTTGAATAAGACAAAACATTTATATAAGAATTATTTCTTTCATCCACTAGCAGTAAGTCAAATACTGTTATAATTAAAATGAAGAAGTCAATTGAAAATGTCTCCATAGTCAGACTAGATTTATTCATGATCTGTAATATTAAACTTCTTTCTTTTAGGAAGACATAATACTTTCAATCTTTAACAAAATAAATATCGAATACAAAACATTAAAACTATTTAAATGGAAAAAAAAACGAATAGCAATAAACAAAATATCGAATAGCTATATTTAGTAGTCACAAACACAAATGTCAATTAAGAAACATACTATTACTTAGTTTGAACTAATAATAAACTTAATAACCTTTTGGTATCTCTAAATAGATACTGAGTACGGAAATGAAAACATAACGAACTGGGCATGCATATAATATCACGTATCATCAAATAAAAAGCAATTAAAAGCATAAATAAAACGTTCATTGTTAAACTATACCTATAATTTATGTAGCATGAAAAAAAACAAATTTTCTTTAGAAAAAGAATTAGAATAGTATTAGAAAAAAAAACAATTTTCTTTTTCTATGTGAGTAAGACAATTATTCATTCTAAAGAAAATTTTATTTTCAGTTATAAATCAAACTTTATTTATTCCAAATGACATTTCATTCATAGTTTACCATGGTTTATGTTAAATCTTATATTTAAAAAAAATTCTCTAGACCAAAATGTAGTCCGGTCGAATGATATAGTTTCTTTGTAATTGAGAAGTTTAATATATTCTTATTTGAAATAATTATTTAACAAAGCTGTAACACATATCAATTTGTAAAGCAATACTATTGCCGATAGAAAGATAGTACGGTTTTTATGTTGGACTTTCTATCTTAAAGTTTATATATATATATATATTCACAATTACATGGTAATAATATTTAGCAAGATCTTAACAATAGAACGGAATTTTTCTGATATTTTGTAATGAAAGCATTTACTGAAAACAACTAGTTATTGAAGTTTAATGAGATTTGGCTAAAAGCAGTTCAGAAAAGTGCGCTTGAAGTTTCGAAGCAAACAATCTTTAGTCTATACATTATACTGACAGTTGAGCCTCCTGACAATGAAGCGCCTAACACTTGAGCCTGAATTCAACAATAGATTAATGAATACAAGCAAATAGGTTTTTTTCGAATAAATTAATCAAGGTGAATCGTGCAATGTTGTTGTGCACTATTCGTAATCTTTGATTTTAATTCTATTGATATTATTTCTTCGACATTTGGTGCTTGAATATGATCTGTGACTTCAACGTATTTTGTATTATTAAAGCACAGACGGGCTTGAGTCATTATTTCTACAACAACACCAGATGGTTTGAAATTTATTGACACAACAGTAACGCAAGTCATTAAGTATAAGTTTATCCTTGTTTTATTGAAGATTTTACAGTTCACATTGTATAATAACAATAGAATAAAATAGAAAAGTAATGGAGAATAGATAAACAAAAGAAATATAGTTCGAAAAACTTATGGTTATCGTAAAGATGATTGACTTAGCTATGGAGAAATATACTAACGAGCCATCAATACCATAGGAAGTGATCGTATGTTTGTGTGCACTACTTTTTGAGTTGATCAAAGTGATCGAATATTGATTATGTTTCTTTTTTTAATTAATTAATGAAGGTTCAACTGTCAGAGGTCTCATCTGTCGTATCATCAGTTTAGATCGAAATTAACTTAGAATACCTAGATAACTCTTCATGGACATCATAAGTTCATTCAACATGATCTGAACTTCTCATCGTATGATGAGAAAGTATTAACTGAATATTTAGGGCTGCAAATTAGTTAACTGGAAACTTTCAGACTCATATTTCTTATTCATTAAAACTATGGAAATGATTAAAAACCAGAAAAATAGGACAGTTTTAGTACCCCGAAACTATTAATGAAAAAATTGGTCATGATATTAAGAGTTCAACCGGATCGGACTGACCGATTCGGCTCCAAGTATGCTCTACAAAATAATATTTGTTTCCAATTTTTTTCTTTAAGTTTTTGGGAGCATAATACCATCATTGATAACAATAGCAAGTAATATAATATCTGTATATCGTGTACGTGAATTAAATCGTTTAACATCAATTTATATATTACCATGTCGTCGTCGCACAGATGATACACGTCGTATATTACTTGTTATTACAGTTGAATGTTTATTTGCTATAGTTAATTCATGGTTTAGTGATATAATATTATCATTAGTTTACTGTAAAAGAAATTTATTAGCCGGTGATGATTGTCCTACATATTTAAAACAAAATTATGATTTATTAGTTATGTTTGATATGGTTAATTCAGTATCAAATATAATTTTACATTGTTTATGTGGTAAACGTTTTCGTAATGAACTTCGACGAATGTTAAGAACATATATTAATTTTCTAAAACATTTTCTTCGTGATATATGGTGTTGTTATTTTCATATGGATTGTAAAAAATTACGTAAACAACAATATGCTTTTTATAAACCATCTATAATGCAACATGAAAGTTCAAATAGTTCAAATAGTGCAAGTCATAATCATGTTTACTCAACAATTCCAACATCACCACGACCAAATAGTAAACATTGCTGTGATTGTCGATGGTATTTTAATCGAAGACCATTAGGTACGTCTCAACAATGTTTATCAGCAATGTCAAAAGATTGTTTAAAAAGAAATCAAATACCTTATACTATTCGATATCAATCATTAACACAACGGACTTATATAACAAAACAAACTCAAACTCGTTCAATGAGACTTTATTATCCACCACAACAAACAACAACATCATTAGTTAATAAAAATCGCTTTTTAAACCTTCATTGACTCTGATCGATTTGCTCATTTCTTTTCATTTTCTTGTTTTCATAAAATCAATAAACCAAAAAATTCATTGATAATTATATCCACAGAAGTTTTTACTTTATCGAACCCAGTAATATAATGATTCTTTGCTGTAAATAATTTAATAGGAAAAAAAACGTTTAAAAGAAATCAAAATTATTTTGTTTATTTACTCAATGTAAATAACATCTTGTTTCTGGGCTGTACGCTTTTCCATTAATAAATGATTTTTCTTAGAAATAATAATATCATTAAAAAAAAGATAAGCAAGAAAAAGAACCATCCGAAAAAGTCATAATAATCGTCCTAGATTCATCTTAGATGCACAAAGATTAATGATAAGCTCTTTAGATTTCTAATTCTATTCATTCTATTTAATACAAATGTGTATAATTTAAGCTAAGATTTATTGCAGAGACATCTATCTGCTGAAATTGAAGTATATTCTCAAAAGATCCTGATACATGCATCTAGGATCAACAAGTTTTATAAATACTCGACAATAAAGAGTTGCAACCGGTCGAGAAACTTTGAATTAATCCAGTTCAGCTGGTTCCAAAAAAATCTTGTATACTGTTAACAGCTCGCTGGCTCATTGAATCATCATTAATGCATTAACAGGAAGAACATAAAACAATCATTTCCCATTTTGTACTCAAACTTTTACAAATCTTCAGGCAGAAATATTATGCTTTACTCGTTTACATCTGTTAGCTTTCTCAAAGATGAATTATATAATATTTCTATATATAGCCCGAAAAAAATTAGTCGTTTACCAATTAGCTGATTGTTAAACAGAAAATTTTCAACTTTCTGCTTGAGTCTTTCCAGGTAAACCTAATCTTTGTCTTCAAATGCCGATTCAAACGTAAATTTGATCTTTACCAGAATGTATATCATATAAATTTTGCTTTAGAAACATAATTTTGATTTTTGTTTTTAAAAAAAATTAAATATATTTCGATTAAAGAAATAAAATAGGGTAAACAAACATATGAAAATAAAACCGGTAATTCTTGAAACAACATTGTTTCATTATTTTGATAAGAACAACCAACCTTACTCTCAACAAGTTTTATCAGAATAAAATGACATATCTATATAATATTCTCCAACCGATGAGAATCAGCTGAATCAGTTACAACTCTGCAACAACATTCACTTTTGAATTGATGAAACATTCTAATAAATATTTTATGTCACAATCTTAAATGTGTTTTTTTTAATGAATTTATATATACAATGGTAGACTAAATTTTTGAACAACTTTATTTTAAGTGTAACTTTATTAAAAACAACTATCTTTGATGCACGATTTTTATTAATAGTACAGTCATTGTCTGTAGCAGGATGTATGTATGAGTGAAGATCTCGGTATCGGCTTCATTGAAGCAAAAACTCACACTTATGCCTACGTTACTCATTTCTATTCTTTCAAATAGTAGACGAAAAATAAACCATTGCATAATAAAAAATCCTAATTGAAATATATTTTTTATGTAATCAACGGATAGTAAATTTCCAACAGCTAAAATTATATTTTTTTTTCGAGAAAACTAATTAAAACTGAAAAACAATCAACAGACAATAAATCGTCTAGACCTTTATTAACACATACTTTTTTTGATCAGCTAATATAATTCTAGTGCGTGAACAGCTGGTGAAATTGATTTTATTATTTGAAACTAATCAAATTTGCTTCAGTCTTTGTTTTAATATAATGATTAAATTTCAGTATTCAAGTTCACTTCATGAATTATCATCTTGTGTTGAAAAAAAAAGTAAATAACTAATGATGATTTAATCCGACTGTTTGATTTATTATCTTCTCGTATATTTATCTTTGATATTCAATCTAGGAACAAATTAGGTCTCTAATAGATTTTATCGTCATGTGTTTTTTTTTTTTGTCAATTAGCATCTATTATTGTATTAAGATGAAGATTTTCATGATTTAAAATATTACTTCACTACTAGACCCGACTATTATAAATCTTTATAATAAGTTTGTTGTTTGACAAAGGAAATAATTGTCCATTAATTTTCTTCTCACTTTCCTAGAGCTTTTCAAAATATTTCATTCAGATAAAAGAGCATGTTGAAATATTCAAATAAATTAATTTTAAGGAAATATTTTCTTTTCGAACGTCCACATTATCGACTAGGTAATGCACCATTAACAAAGGATGAATTAAGTTAATGTTCTTTTTTCGATATGAACTAATGATTTCTTTGAAATAGATAAAACTTCAGAAACGAAAATATTTGTAAATAAAGATTTGCATCCAACTGAAACGAGATCAAAACAACAAATTATCGTCGTCTTGTGTTTTTTATGCTGTAATATTTGAGTTGAACAAATGACTAATGAAGAACATCACTGGATGGCAGCAGTTCATATCTCTTTCGTTCTCAACATGAGTTGCCATCAAACAAATAACGATCACACCAAATGAGTCTATTAATTGAAATAGGATCAAATACAAATATAACCAATAGAAAATAATTTCAATTGTTATAACGAAAAAACAAAAACAGAGAAAGAGAGAGAAAAATAAAATGGATTATCTCAAATAGGTCAATTAAACAAATGTGTCAAATAGTTGACTAATCTTGATCATATCAAACATTTAGAAGACGAGAAGAAGAAAAACAATAAGCATAAAAACAGTCTAATGTATGAAAATGAAATAATTGAATATACAAATCGCCATAAAATGGAAGAAACAACAGCTAAAGTATTTGCTCGTTTACATCAAATGAAAAGTATTCTTTATAAAACTATTAAAAGTAAGTAAAATATTTCAATGAAAATTTTTTTTTTTAAATTATTTTTAAATAATATTTTAGAAACATCTTGTGGTACTATTGCTAATCATAATGGTAGTTATTGTTCACCAATAAGTGATCATTATGATCAACAATCTGAATCAACAATAACATCATTAATTGATGTAAGTTTTTTATTTTTTTTTTTATTAAATATATGATAAAAATATATGAAGATATTCTTTGTTTTATTGATAGAATTCATCCGACGATACAATTTCATCGATTAGTGGAGATTCAATGGATTCAGGTGTGTCTGTATTAAGTGACTTTTCACACTATTCATTATCATCATCAACATCAGTACTGAATCGAACGACAACAACTACAATACCAAAATCATGTCATTTGAGGTGTGATCCATCAATCATTAATTATATTTCACATAATCTATTGACAACTCATCGTTCAGAACTTTTTCTCGATGATATCGATGATCAAAATATTGACGAAACTTCATCTATACAAATACCATTAGCAGAAAGTAGTCGTCGTATTATACATGAAAATGAAGAAAATGATCAAACAATTGTTGCTGATGATGAAGATGAACATCCAGGACCATTAACATCAACATTAATTGATCGATGGTATTCCGTAACAAAAACTTACTCAGCAACATTTCGAGAAGATTTAACTGTTAGAAAAAATGAACTTGTACAAGTATTACGTTCAACACATCCACATTGGGCTTGGGTACGAAATGAACATAGTCAAGAAGGATTTATACCGATTGATTGTTTGATTGTTTCCTAATTGTAAAGACTAATTTAAATATGAATCATTTTCTATCTTTTGTTTCAAATAAGAATTGTTTATACTCGTTCTTCATTAATATAAATGTCAATAAATTTTCTCTTTCAGTTTCATTTTGAAATTCAATGTAATTAAACATATTTTAAGTTGGATATTTCTGAGATAGAATATTTAATAGATTGCGCAATCCTATTGTAAAAAGTAACTTCATTAAGTATTGCATCTTATAAATTATAGTTAAGGATGAATAGAATAGGAAATTTCACAGGACGATTTTCTTCGTCCTGTTTTACAAAATGTAGAGCATTGTCAATTAGTCATCCTGTTTTGTATGACAAAATATTAAAACGTTTATCGTGTCAGGACACACCGACAGTTGAGCCTTCTGATGTTTGAGCATTTCTTATAGTGTTTCAATCAAAATTAATATTAAGCTATATGTACATATATTATTCAGTAAGACTTGATAGAATATGCATGTCGGTGCGTGGGCATCGGAGTCTGTTAGCAGAAGATTCGCATTCATCAGCATATACATACCTGAACCCATACCCTATATGAAGAAATCGATAAACAACTACCATACTTGATGTCTAATTTTGAGGTATATATCAGAAAATAATGTTTCCAGAGAGCGAGAGCCTTATTTAAGTTTAAGGTTTTTTTTCTAATAAATGTTTTTTAGATGATAATTTTTCATGTTCATAATCTATCTATGTTCAACTTTCGTGTCATCGAATCAAAGACCTTCCTGCGTCCAACCTGCAGAACGATCTTTTCATTGCATTTTTGACAAAGGAAAAAGTTTGTCTGTATACAAAGTATGATGTAAAATATCATAGACATACTATTTATACAGAAATCATTTACAGTTTAATCAAGTAGATAAACTTTTTCACATGTTTTCAACAGAAATGAAATGAACAAATTCATAGTGTGAAAAAAACAATCCTTCTTCTTGAATTTCTCGTATGAACGAATAAAATATTATGTTATCAATATTACTTGATGATAAACGTTCTCGTCTTTGAGTGAACATCAATCCAGCTGATCTAAAGAGTCTTTTTATCGAAGTACTAGTCGTTGGTCTAGTGTCTACTCTTTTAACTGCTGTTGGTAATAATTAAAAATCACAACGAGTTTTACTACTAGACTAGAACTGCATTAAATCATAATCAATCAGGTGACTTGGATGTTTTGTACAGCAGATCACGCAGGATTTGTGTCCTGTGACATTTTATAAGTTAATAAAGTTGATGTTGTCAATTACTAAGATAGATTATATTATATGACTTGTTCTCTAACATTCATTATTGCCTAAAAGATGGATTACATATATGAAATCATGAGTGACATAAATATAATTATTACTGAACAGAAAGGTGACTAGGAACTGTTTTTTTTTTATCTTTATTTTTGAGTTAATTAAAATACAAAACGTGATGAAAATATCTGATATTTAAACGAAATTCGGTAAAGTAATCCATTCTTGACCAAATGCATCATTTAATCGATCGATATCGCGTACACATCGATTGATATATTTAACATTTATCGCCGACGGTTTTGGTGTTGATGGTTTCAATACACGTGCTAACAGCGACGAGGGACAAATTGATACTAAAAATATAAAGAAAAAAAGAAATACATTGTTATATCTTTATTTGAATATTAAAAAAAAAATAGAATTTTACTTTTTCTTGATCGTTTACTGATAACAGTTGCTTGTGATACATTAGATTGATTGAGTGTAATAATACTTTTAAAGTCGGAATTATTAATATTAATACTATCGATTATTTCCCAAGGTGTTGTAATAGTTGTTTCATTAGATTTATTCTAAAATAAATAGTGTTTTCTTTTTTTTTTTTCAAAATTCAATTTTAAACTTGTTCTAACCTTTTCATTGTTGTCGTCCCCTGTAAGTGTTCTATCCAGAGATAAAAGTGAATCATCACTAATAGTATGATCACCAACAAGTGTCTCATCATCGTCACTTAATAGAGTAATACCGGATGACATAGTAGACGATAGAACTTGTATTGTTTTTCGTTTCGAAGTTGCATATCGAACAGGTGTTCGTTCAAAACTACGTTCAGTACACATATGTACTCGCTTAAGAAGACGTATTGCACTTGATTCTAATGGACGTGTTGGTGTTGTAAATGACATTATGTTATCGATTGATTATTTTTTGCCATCAATATATAAGATGGTGCTATACTAACCGAATCGACAGTATCGGTAATAGACAATTCTTTGATTATTAGACAATGTATATTAACACATATATGTTGCGTGAATGATTAGTGATCGTGATAATGATGAAAGAATGATCAAACAAATGATACACAATCAATATATAATTTCATGCTTGAATAACTTATAATAGCAATAAATAAGAAATTTGATAAACATATCATAAAATACAAAAGATATTGAAGATTTGAATAACTGGAAAAAAAGACTAAGATTTATTTCGAATTATTTTTCATCTATAATTACAACAATCTGCATAAAAATGGTATTGTATTGAATTTAAATGAAATACACTCGATAAGAATATCTACTGTTTGCATCAAAGGAATGTGTGTACATGAAAATATGCGTTGAAAGAAAATATTAATATTATTAATTCGAGTGCTTTTTATGTCAATATTGAGACAAACTTGATAAAGCTTTACATGAAGTTTGACGTTCGTGGATACAAGGACATTCGTTGTGATTTTCCAATATTCAATAAAGACATGCAAAAGTTTGGACACAACATTATAGTAAGATATAAATCAATTAACATATTGATATAAGTATTACACACACGAAAAAATCAATAGGAGAGGAGCACATATGAAAGCATAGATCAAAGAGAATAATTTCATTAATAAACCATCGGTTTTCCATTCATCAAAACACTCTCTACATAATATAGATTCATCATTCTCCAATATTGTTACTATTTCAAGTGAAATATTAGTATAAGGGATCACTAATTAAATATGATGTTTTGTAAAAATATATTTCTATCAATACGAATACCATTTTTCTCACTATTTAAAACTACATTATTGCTGTTTTAAACATTTTCAGTAGAAGAACAAAAAAAAAAAATACTGCAAATGACTAGTATAAACATTAAATGCATTTTATTACTTCTGTTTAGAACAGAAGGACGTTTCAGAAGGTTTGAGATCAGTTTAAGTCGATATTAGAAAGTCAGAGTGTTCACAAATTGAAAAGAATAAAAAAAAAATGAGACATATCGTCATGTTTGATAAAAAAAAGAATTTTTTCTGTATGAAGAAATAAGATCATTATTATACATTGTGACAACGGAGTCGAAAATTGCTATCGGAAAATACAAAGCTGCTTTATAACAAAACTTTTTATCAAGTGTCTAAGCAATACATGATAATACTGATAAAGCGTTATAAACACAATCAATGTCACATTTATAAATCGTGTTCATTGTCTTTGTAGAAACTATTTATTGAAAAAGTGCTTTCAAAACAACAAAAAAATCAAAGACGAATTAAATTAGTATTACAGGAAACAACTCCGAGTACAATAACTATGTAGTTGAATAAGTTACTAATCACTGAAGAATGGATGAAAAAAAAAACTTAGTGCTACTGAAATGACTCGATTAATGAAAATGTTAACAACGAACAAATCTACAGGTTTTAATTATGTATTGAGTTTTATGATTAACAAACTTTCTCTGAACTATACTGATTGACTTGATAATGTAACTTTTAATTAGTTAAAATTATGTATTCCAAAAAGCGCCGAGAACAATTCAGTTGCTTTGATTTTCAAACGTTCAAAATTTTTTGACAAGATTTTCTTTCAAAGAACTAGATACTGAACTGAAAGCAATAATTTAATATTCTTAGAATGATCAGAATTTCGTCTAAAATATCTGCTACCCACTGAAGAACTACAGATTTATTACAAAGAGAAAATTAGATATCCGTCAATTTACTTATGCTTACTATCCATGTCGATTATCAAAATACCTATGATTGTATATGGCATACCATTTGATTTATTGAAGATGGTTAAAAACTCTGTCCTTATGTATCTACACACAAACTTTGTATATATTTAGTCTGTAGTATTCTAAAACTAAATATGAAGAAAACTTTGTATTCAGCAGGAAAAGTAAAGTAAATAGGATAAGAAATGAAACTAATTCTGTCGATATGGATGACTCATTATAAGTAGAAAATTTTGTACTTCACATTCTTTTTTTCATTGGTGTCTAGCTCATTGATTCATTGGCTATCAAGCATAACAACAGGTTACTGTAAGTTGATATTAAAGAACAGAAAAATAATTGCGATCCCGTTGAGCAATTAAGTTACATTCAGGTATTCAAAAAAAAAAAATACTGTAGTTATTCATTATTCTTGTAAGGCAACGAAGGACATCAAAAATGAGCACAAAACCTACTACACTAACAACATCGAACATAAACAACACAAAAACATCTACTCTTCGTTTTAATGTTGATCAACAATGTCCAATACAACATGTTATTGTTTACAATGATCGTGCTGAAGTTACACGTCATCTACGACATCATTTCAATGTTGAAGGTACTTATGATCTTGTATTTGAAGGTTTTTCTCCATTTGTTGATCAAACATCATTACATGTTAGCGGAGGAACGGGCAAAACATGTACCATTCTTGAAGTTTCATATCAAACATGTTATGAAAATATAGTATCACAAGCTGATTTAATACAATTAGATCAATTATATAATGAACTTGAGAAGATTGAAGCCAATTTTGCTGTTCATCAACGAGAATTAGCGCGTCTTGATAAACAACGTGCATGGCTTGAAGGGCGAGCATCGAAACTCATGAATCAAGACACACAACTCAATGCTAATGACCTTGATGCATTACATGAATTTATGGACTTCTATCATAAAGCCCTAGTAAAATTGGATGACCGAAAAACAAATGAGGAAGATGAAATTAAAAAAATAAAACAACAACGAGATGACTTACGAATAAAAATTACTGAATATGGTGTTGAAGATCAATCAAGTCGTCGAAACGAACGTCGTGAAGTGACCATTACAGTGCATATAGGTTGTACTAATATTGATGTTAATTTAGAAATATCCTATTTAATAAGTAATTGTTCATGGAGTGCTAGTTATGATGTTCGTGTCAATAGTACAGATACATCGAAACAAGCGACTCAATTAACTTATTATGGTATTATTGTAAGTATCTAAAAAGAAATTTATTAAATGAAAAGAGATATTTTATATAATGTGTTTTAGGTGAACAAAAGTCAAGAGAATTGGTCGGATGTACAATTATCATTGTCGACAGCAACTCCATCTCTTGGAGGAGTACCACCAAAATTATCTACATTAAAAATCAATTATTATCAACCTTATCAGAAGTATCAAGAATTATGTGAAGTAGAAGATAAAAAAGATAATTCTTATGGAGCTTCCGCACAATTGTTTTCATTTGTTCAATCAAGTCGACAATCGAGAAAATCTGAAGGATTTGCTACTTCACGAGAACGATCATCTCTCAATTCTAATCAAATCATCTTAGAAGATGAACTTGAAGCAATAAATATAATAAATGTTTTGTCAACTACAACCGAAGCAAATATGTTAAGTGTTAATTTTGTTATTCCTCGACGATCAACTATCGATGCTGATGTAAGTTTTTATTTTCCTTGTCAAATTCTTTTTATTTATAAGCATGAATCGTTTGAAAAAGGGCAAACCACACAAAGTAACAATAGGTGTACTTGGTCTTACTTCAACATTTATTTATACAATTGTACCAAAACTATCTATTCATGCATATCTCAAAGCATCAACAATAAATACATCTGACAAATTACTTCTAGCTGGACCAGTATCGGTATTTATGGACAATAATTTTATTACACATAGTTCAATTGATAACGTTTGTTTGGGTGATAAATTTGAACTTTTATTAGGTACAGATACAAGTATCAAAGTCGAATATAAACCTGTGAAGAAAATTACTGAAACACAAGGACTTATTTCAAAAACATATTATGAAAATATTCGTCGCGAAACACGTCTTGTCAATACAAAACCAATGGAAGTAATTGTTTATGTTTATGAACAAGTACCACTTTCATTAGATGAAAAAATTAAAGTAAAATTACTTGTACCGGATTTACGAATGAAAGAACAAAGTTCAAATTATACAGTAACAATGAATGGTGCAAATAATCTCGAATGGAAATGTATATTACAACCTAGAAGTGAATGTCGTTTACCACTTGAATATACATTAGAATGGCCAAAAGATAAATGTATTGAATTCAAAGAAGAATGATAAATTATTTCGTATGCATTGATTATTTTGTCATAGAACAATGAAAATTTCTTGCAATTTTTTTTTTTCGTTTTTCTCTTCAAGCTTATTATATTTAATTCATATTTTTTCTGAATAGCTGATAAAAAAAAAACTTTTACAAGAGTAAAAAGAAAAAAATTGGTGCGTATCTACCTTTCCTATGGCACTAGTTTTCATGTTCATTTGTTTAGAGTTATTTAAAGTGCATATTTCATTGTGTTTTTTTTTCTTATATATATCTTATATTATGAATTCGTGCTATTAAAACAAAATAGCATGTATATATTATTATAATCAACTATAATATAACCGTTTATTTTGAATAAAAAGTTCTTTTAAATTGATCTTCATATTTTTATGAAAATCTTTATCATTACTTTTTTTGTCTCAATAATTATCGTTACATTACTTTGAATATCTTATATATCGATCAAATTGAAGATTTTTTTGTTGATATAATTAATAGCAAAGTATCTATCAAATAAATATTTACACATTCATCATAGTTATTGCCAATTTTGATGAAAGTAATCGACAAAAGTCTATGCCCTGGAGAATCTCAGGCATTATAAATGTTGAAGGTCTGAAAACTTTTTTGTATAAGAATGTAACAAATCTAGAATAGATTTGGGACTTGATTTAGATCTATTGTATTCTTATTTATGCACATATGTCGTTAAGAATGTCGATCAGAGCTACTATTCCGCTTCAATTGCTTAACTTATGTTTAAAAAATCTTTGCACAACTTGTCTTGTCAATTTGTCTACTTACAAGTTACTGGAGAAAATCAAAAATAATCAACTAGAATCAGAATTTGATACTGTTTTAAACTAAATATTCAGATTGTTTGTTGACTTAACCCTCGAACGCTTTTTGTAGGTTCGATTGGATTCACAATATCGTTTTTTGCTTCCTGCTTCGTTAACACTTAAAATTCTTCGATCAATATCTTTTCTAATCGTTAGCCTTCTCACAACGTAAAAAGGTCATATTAATTTTTGTTAATAAGTATTACAGGAAAGAAAATCAAGGATGAATCTACATGAAATAATTCAATTGTAACAGCGATTTTATTCTATTTTATTCGTTGTAGAATATTAAGAAAAAAATGTTCTTGCTTTTCATATGAGCAAATTAATATATACATTACATATGGAGGACATCTACTCGCTTTTGTCGTAGTCAGATCTCTAGTTCGATCTTCGATTCATCTATGTCTAGCGCAAATCAAGCAAAAGAGTGAAGTACCTCTTATTCATTTACATGTGAATCTGATTTGATTTACAAACCATCCTTTATGTAACAAAATGAGAATAACACTTGCGGATCAAAATTAACTCATTGAGAACAAACCTTTGATAGATGCCAAAAATGGTGACTGTATGAAATTTTTCGTATACTTCAGTTTTATATATTTATAAAATCTCTCTCAATCCAAACTATAAGAAAGCATTTTTGTATACATTGATTATATTCTAAGTACCGAAATTTGAAAGAAATGTTTTTTTTTAAATACCTTCTCACGTAAAGCGTTACTACCCAGTGAAAAATTTTAAGGATTAAAATTTCAAAATCTGATGGGCCTAATCGGAATTGAAAATCCGATTTTTGTGAAACAAGATCAAGATTTTAATCGATTATAATCTTGATTGTGTTGTACCATAATCAGATAGAAAATTTTGATTACTATCGTTTAAAATTTGGATTTTGTTACAAAAAAATTCTGATTATCGATTTTGATTATTCAATAGAATTTTGAAATTTTAGTCGATTTTAATCGTTGGAATTTTTCACTCGGCTGTTACTTGTTAATCTGTTCCAATCTATTATTATCTATTAATTTATGTCAATTTATTACTACCTGTTAATCCATTTTAATCTATTATCACTTTTTCATCGATTTTAATCATACATACCGAAGATAAGCCCTTTTTCCGAGACTCGAACGTAATACTCTAATTTTTCATGATTTTCCTGGATTGCTCGTGTTTAGAAACTATAAAATTGTCATCAGCCCAAACTTAAGCACATGAAGTAAATTTGGAACTACTAGATAAATTGATTCAAATTGAAATGGTGCAATCACATCAGAAATCGATTAAAATATTTTAATCGATTTTAATCAACTGTATACATACTTTTACAATTTTCTGTGTAGTACTTCTTTGTATATGAAATTCTTTTGAAAATCGTATCCCACAGGTTGTATTCATCTCATGTGTGCCTTCTACTTATGAAAATAATCAGCTTCACTTCATTTCTACGCTCTTGAATCGATTAAACATAGCCCATGTTCTGAATGAACACGCTATTGATAAAAAACAATTTTAATTGGATTATTTTATCTGAATTATGTTTTTTAAAAAGTGCTAATATTGTTCATGATCATGTATACCATGTTTGTTGTAGATTTTTTTTTTGTCCTAATTAATATGATATGATATTTTTATCTACAATAGTCATAGTAGCAATTAATGTTGCACCCAAATTGCTTCATATTAGTTCAAGTCATTTGGTTCTGTATAAACCTTACTGATATTCTTCAACATCTTGAAAGCCAAATGAACATCTGAGAGCCGATTAGCGATTAAAATCGAATTACTATCATAACACTCGTTGATTATCCATTGAAAATTCCTGAATCAGGTTTTTTTTTTTATTAAGGTTTTACTCGAATAAAATTGATTAACGATTTAAATCGAATGAACGCCCTGATAGTCAATGATAATCGAATGAAAATCTCTGAATTGGATTTTTATTTGTTAAGCTTGTAATCGGTTGAACAGATTAAATTCGATTGTCGATGACAGCACGATTACAATCGAGATAATCAACAATAATCGGTAAAGGAGATAATTTTTTCAATCGATTTTAATGGGATTTTCTGAAAAAGTGGGAGCTCATCCAAAAAATCATAGTTTTACATCGGTTATCCAAAATAATCGTGATTTTCTTAGAAATATTTTCCACAGAATGTTCGAAAAGCTATGATATAGAATTTTTGCCTTTTGTAATTCTAGCTGATTCCAATGAGTCGAGAATTAATTTTAATATTTGCTCATAGTTAACCAATCGCAAGTTAGTAATTCATTCTGAGCGTATATTCAGAAAGAACATCATACTCTAGTTCTAACTGACTCTTTTTAAGCATCTTCAATAATATCTAGATGTCGGAAACATGAGTAAACATATTAATCAATACCTTTTAAAATAGCATTTTGTACAAACGTCAGTTTTGACTACCATCAAATCTTTGTTCACATTAAACTGACTTTCTGCTAGAAACAAACTCTTAATATATAGTTCCAAAGAATATGATATTCTAATTCTAGTTGATTAGTTTTGATTCTCTCCAGTGACTTATAACTATGCAAAAACTTATCAAACATGTGGTACAAAGATAATTGTGATGGATATGACATCAATGTTTAAATTAAACTTTTTCACCTAAAAATGGCTCTCTAATCAATTTTGCACTGCTTTGTTACAAAATATATGATTAATTCTTGATTTTTTTAAATGGAACTGGAATCCAATCTATGGTTGTTCTTTATGCCAAAGATAAGTTCATTTGCTCGAATATTGACATCTGTGAATCCTCCATCTTATCAACACGATGGCCATCAGTGCAAAGTTTGTTTATGAAACTTGTAGATGTTCATGTCCAACTGTTAGAGATAATTTTTCTGAGAGTTTGAGCTTCATTTATTGAAATACTACTACAATCTCGTCTCGAAAGGATATCCGATGATTTTTTTTTGCACATCAACAATCACAGTAAAGTGGCCAAAATGCTAGAGTTAATGAACTTCAATGGCATTACTTGCGCGATTAGTTGAGATAGAACACTACATAATACGCCTTTAGCTGATCTAGAAAGCTCACCTTCTTCGCAGCTACGAAGTTCAAAGACGACATATCTGCCATTCTCATTATAATTCTCTTTGTACTGACGTATTCGAATCTGAATAACATTCTTTATGCAGTATGTTCACACAAATTCTTAGTTTTTCAGCATCTATAATATCTGAAATTTTCGATGACAGAGGCTTTTATCCATTGCAATATCTAAAATGTTTAGAATTTGTCATAGAAAAATGAGAAAATTTTATGATTCAATTCTTATGTTGATCATTGGCAACAGTAATAATCTGATTCAAATACTTTTGGTATAAACAATTCTGTACAATAACTTAACATTAATTTTTTCGTTTTCTTTCGAGTCTACATTTTGATTGATAAGTATACTATATTAAAAATAATTTGAAAATGTTTTTAAATACTTCCACTAGATAACGATTTAGAATTCTTATTCAAATAATTTTATCTTCAAAATAAAATGATAATTGTTTTGACTTCTATGTATAATAAATTCACTTAAACATCGTGTTTTACATATATATGTTTCAATATCAATGAAAAGACTTTTATCTTCAGAGGCAATTTAATAGGATTTTTCTATCAATAATTATATGTTTACCAAAAATATCTGAAATATAATAATTAATATTGACTTCTTTCAGTTTTGAATAATTAAAAACTCATTAAAACTGTAGTCATATTAAATATTGTTTTGCATATCAATCAATATTTCTTTCAAAAATGACGATCAATATATATATATAGATTGTCTTTGTTTAGTCATATTTTACCATTACCAACCATGACTATGTAGTTCCTATCTTGATGATATCATTATAACATATTATATTTTCTACCGTTTTTTTCCTTTGCTACGTTTGCAATCTTCATATACATACGCGTCACCTTGTCATTATTAAATTTTTACATATAATGCTCGTCTATTTGTCAATATTGGTAGCACTTTTTCATTTTTTTTTCAGTAGTCAAATTATACGAAAAAAAGTATATGAACTAGGTATATGTTTCATTCTTTCTTCTTCCTTTTTCTTCTATGTTTCTCTTGTTCGATTCCTTTTTTTTACAAGTATCTCACCTTTACCTCCGCTAGTGTCACTACTATTTGGCCATGGTTGAGTGATCTCGCATTGATTCATATGTATGTATATTTAGGAATTGCCTTCGAAATTCGATTTACGTATGTTTATATTGAAGCATCATCATGCTTTTGTCATGTTTTTGGAGGTCTCTACTGCCCCGTTCTTTCTGTCTTTTTTTCTTTTTTCGCTTCTCCTATACATTCTGTTTGTCTATTTGATAGGACATGCACTTAATGTTTTTTTTTCGTATGAAATATATGTGGTGATAAGGTGTTTTCCTTTTTGATTCTTCTACTGATCAACAAAAAACAAGATGGAAAAGAGAGAAACGAAAAAAGAGAGAGAAAGACAGAGAAAGAAAGTCTGCATGCTGAATTTTGCTTACGAAAAAGATATTGTATACTATTTCAACAGGCAATAGGTGCCAATGATATATATTAGAATAAAGAATTCTTAGATTTTGCTTTTCTCGTTTTAGTTTATAGTCGTTTTTACTTAAATTTTTCGTGTGTATACTACCATTATGTCCGTCCTACCCCCACGAAGTTATCGTGCTAGTCGATATCCAGTGTAAGTTTACATTTAACAATAAATAATATAAAAAAACAAACATCTCTTCTGTAATTGAAAATTCTTCTATTTAGATCCAGACCTAGATTCGTTCCTAGACCACCAGTAGCCGGTGGTGTTGGTGCCGGACTAGGTGCAGGTGCTGCAGCTGGTGGCCTAGCTGGTTTGATCGGTGGTCTAGGTGTACCATTACTTTGCCTTGGATGTCTATGTGCAATAGCCATTTTGGGACTCTTTGCGACCATGATAGGTGCTGCAGCCTATATGAGTATGTGAATATCGTTTTATTATATTATAATTCTTATTTTTTTTTTTTATAATTTAGACGCAATTCAAAGTCAAATTCGTAAAAATGTTCAAGGTGCTGGAACGACGATTGAACTTAATATTGTAGTTCTTTTATGTACACTTCTCTGTTCGATTTATGTGTTGACAAAATATCGACGAGGTGGTGCTCTTAGTTGTTGAATAGTAAACATATGCATCTATTCAAACACCTATATACACATTTGGCATAAAAAAACAAACACACATATATTTCAATTCTTCTCTTTTTTTTGCAACACAACTATATATTTCCTACTTATGCTTTGATGACTATTTCTTTCTTTTTTTTTTTTTTGCATCTTTTATTATTTGCGCGCTAGAAAAACATTTCTGAACAGGTACAATGTGTTTTCATATCATCAATAATTATTAGTCAACGTCATCATCGTCACTATTGCTTTCTTTTTTTCTTCGTATGATAAGATAAAAAAAGCTGCTTCATTGTTGCTATTATTAAAAAAAATGCATACATGTTTGTATTACTTTTTTTTTGTCATTTTTACCCTTTTTTGTGTGTTTATGAATTACAAAAAAAAAGAGAAAAACCAATACATATATGTTTTAAAGAAAGAACTTTTCGTTAGATTTCTTTTTGACTTAGTTAACGAAATTATTCAATTAAATGATTTATTAGAGACATGATAATTTCTGTATTTTTTTAAATTCTCATTTATAGAACCTTTTTTTTGCTTGTCTAAGCATCAATGATCATTACAAATCAATTTTGTTATCAAGGTCGATTTTCGTTTGCTTGCTTATACATTCATCAGTAGAAACCTGCATGTCTTTTACATACATATGCTTCGCTGTGGTGTGTTACGCATGATCAAGTTTTTTTTTTGCATTTTTTTTTTCGTTTTTTCTCATACAGATTGGCATACTCATCGCTAAATACGTAGGCTAGTGTGCATAACTTTATTCTTTTTCTTCTTTCTTTCCTCAGTTTTTTTTCCACCAATATAGGTAGAAATATTTCTCCTATATTATTATAAGTCATGCATATTGAAGAAATAGTAGTTCCTCGCGTGTTTCACCCTCATGTACTATCCCCGATTACCACGACGGAAAAAAATGCTGTCAACCATGACGCGAGTGTGTATAGATAGATGGTCTCCTTCGGATTGAAGAGAGAGCGAGAAAGGTGTAGAATGTAAAGAAATACATAGTGGCGTATTTTTTTCAAACAATAATAAGCATTGAGTCTTATTTGCTTCTAGTGTATGTAAAGGAAGAGAGAGAGAGAGTATCTATAGAAGGATTTAGTCGTGGTTGTTTACTTTTTTTTTTCTTAAAAAAAGAATAGAAATCGTCTTTTTCTTTTTTTGTATTGATCACCAACGATAACTTTTTTTTATCGATATATTGCAGATCGTTGTCCACCATAGAATAAGAATATGTACGGTACACGGTAAGTTTGCGAAATATTGTTTTTTCACATAAGTCATATTATAAACTATTTGTTTCAAGATCACGACGTCCACTGCCACCACGTCCACTACCACCGCGCCCACTGCCACCACGTGCAGGTGCTGCTGGTGGTGCTGGTGCACTTGGTGGAGTATTAGGTGGCTTAGGTGGTGCTATCACTTGTCTCTGCTGTCTTTCAGCACTTGGTTTAATAGGTCTATGGGCAACTTTCATTCCATTTGTGGCTTTCTTCAGTAAGTTATGCATTGCTACACTCAATAAAATATATTCTTTTTTCGTTGATTAGAATACGCATGGGATCAAGAAACAAGAGCTTTTGGTGGTAGTTCAAGCATTCAAAATCTTCAACAAATCGTTTTTCTTCTTGCAATCTGTCTGTTAACAATTCGTTTTGCCAGACGACAGGTTTCTACATAGAACCTTCAACGAAATATAAAGACTCATTTTTGAATATCAACTTACTGTCGTCATCATCGTCGTCATCGTCGTTGTTGTTATGGTCAATTTTTTTTGTTGAACATAAACATGTATATGCGCGCTAAATAAACACCAAAAAACAGACACAAGTCGTCGTCATATTGTTAATCATTATTATTCTCAACACCACATTTTCTCAGTTTTTTTTTTCGTTTATCTGTCTTTCTACAACTCTCTTTTCTTTGTCTTTTTATTTTCGAAAAAAAAATCTTTTTTTTCTATTGAACAAAATACGCGTTCGCACATATTGATTCTATATTTATTTTATAAAGATTTTCAACTATGAAAGGGCATTAAAACAAAGAATTATTGTATAAAGTACGGAATAATTAGAAAAATTAATTTTATCCTTTCTAGTTCAAGTGAAAGATAATTTTTATTCGTCTCAATAGATCACATTGCAATGTATCTAAGTTCGAATTAAACGAATAAATGAAAGAATTATCAATAAGTCTGTATACATACGTACATATTCTATTCTACTATATGATTATTATTTTACTAAAGCAACTCTCTACAAATAAACAAGCATGTCTATAAGTCTGTAGTTCTCACAAATGAGTTAGATAATATTGAAACAAATGCGTGAAAAGAAAAACTACAAACAGTTTATAATTTACAAAACTTCTAGAACAGTTTGTTAAACAATAAAGAATCAAAAATGTTTCGTATTATTTTTTCTTTCTATTAATACAAAAAAATGTTGTAAAAATACGTGCAAAAAGTTTACGTGAATAATGCTTAAACAGTTTAAGCAATTTATTTATTCTTTTATTAATATCATAGTATATTAATTGAAGTTTTCTTTGGTATCTTTTCAGATAAATGTCTGAACTTATAAACCTTAGTATAAATATATTTTTGTTCAAGGTCAAATTTAAGCTACCTATCGTTGTGAAAGAAAGTGTAAGTCGAATTTGGCCTATAAACGCCAGGCATTGCTTATACTGTGGCTACTTTTACGAAATCAGTATAAAGGTAAATGGACATCAATATGAAAGATTCATAGTCTGTCTCATTCTATGGATAGTAGCAGACCGAATTATGACTTAATATTTACTGATGAAGCCATGCAAGATGCATTGTGTCCGACAAATTCATGTGTAAAGATCACAAGATCGATTTTAAATTCTCAAATAATGGAAATAAATTAATTCGAAAATAAACTTTCTTCAATGTTTCTATTCAAAAATTTCAAAACGGATGGATTTATATATTTCGAATTCATGGTAATCATTTTGAATATTTTTTTGTAAAACAAATTGTATGAAATAAAATTTAAAAGAATATTATATTATATTATCAAAAAGAAAACGATTAAATCGGTTGAATTGAATAAGAAATGTTTATATAAACTATTGGCACGAACGTCTCAACGCCCTGTATAAAGGCACATTTCATATAGTAGTACATCGATGGATAGTGTGAAATAAATATATATATATATACATGTGATAAGTATGACAATAAATTATTGATAATACTTCTAAATTGATTATTTGAAGAACAATTTAAGAGAGGGGCCGCCGTAGGATCGAGAAACCCCATATTCCCGAAAATTTTCACCCCCTCATTTTATTAATGGAATCGATAGTCCAAGAAGTGAAACGACTAAACCCAAAATACTAGCTCGATTAATCATACAACAAGAAAGTTATGAGCACTACACTGACGACTACTCAGTGATTTAGTCAAAATCGGGACTTTTTAGTGTGATCCTCCTATCTTCGTCAAAATATAATCTATTTCCCAACAATTATACATCATTTGATAGCGCATCGAGCGCTTTACAAAACTAGGTATATGACAGGATTAAATTAAATATTCAGATAAGACTTTTCATCAAAATACTGAAGCATGGTCGTCAAGCAAAAGTCAGTATTTTGAGAACAAAACTCTTAAGATTAGTTCATCCCAGATATTTAGATGGTGCATCGAATAGAGCAATAAAAAAGCTACAAAATTAACCTAAAAGAGAAAATTTTTAATCTGTAAAAAAAGATTTTTTTAAACATTTTTGTGTCAAAACTCGTGAAAAATGCTGTTTTTCGCTTAATTTTCGACTTTTTTGTGTGCTCTACATACTAATTTAGTTAAAGTGAATATGATATTCGGAATCAGCATCAAAAACTGAGTCGACTAATATATGTTTCAAACATATTCGCGAACTTTTGCTTTCATCACAAAAATTCACCCTTGGTCCCACTCAAGGTAGTTACCTCAAAAAAATATATTTCATCAAAAAGTTATTTCGTCAGTAGGAAACACGTTCTATGCTCGTAAAATGATACAAAAACACAAAACGGCAGATGACTAAGCAATAAACACAGCGTTTTGATGAAATATACTTTTTTGAGACAACTACCTTGAGGGGGACCCCACGGGTGAATTTTTGNTTACCATTTAGATCTTGTACTGATTCTTTAAGTAACATTGCAAAATGATGTAAACGTGTGATAAGTACTTCAATAAAACCCAATTCACGAAGAGCATCTTTTAATATATTATTCAATTTAAGTATATGGATTAAATATTTGACACAATTTTTATGACTTTGTATAGAACTAAAGAAAAAACATCAGTAGAGAAATGTTCTTCAATTAAAACCATACAAAATCCATTCGTTCGTAAAAAATATTATCAAAGGTATTTAATAAAAAAAAGAATATTTCAACTGTAAGAGTTTAGATATATAAACTTCAAGATACTTATTTGATTTAAGCATAATAGATAAATTAACAAGTTCTCTATGTGGAATATATTTAAGTTGAAATACAATAAATTCCAAAAGATCATAAATTTTTATTTGAACATCATTTGGTTTACTATAAAAAACTTCAGTAAGTGGTGAAAGATTTTCACTACAAAGAAAATAATTTGCATTGTCGGCTAATATAATACTACTGATTGTATCAAATACAATATTAACAAGAAATGGATGAGTTGACTAAGAAAACAAAAAAAAAAACGAAACAGATAATAATAAATCAATGAACTTATAACAAACCTGTTGAAAAATAGATTCGAGAATTGTAAATGTAGAAAGATTACGAACAATAAAACCTAATTTAACGAAATAAATTAATTTTTTAAGGTTAGAAGAAATTTTTTTTTCTACCGTTTTTTTTCGGTTGTGGCATAACAAAATTTGGAATATCAAAAATTGTTTCAGGACTAGCAGGTAATTTAAGTTCATGATAACCTGTATAAATAAAATCACCGAGTAATGTAATAAAATGTGCAAATAATTTTTCAGATTCATCATTAATTCATTCATTTTCCAGTCTATTGAAAGAAAACCAAAATTCAATTTCGTTTTTTATTAATCAATCTTTTTAAGAAAAAAAAAGAACTATTTCAGATATTCTACTTATGATTAGGATTTTCCCGCTAAATATGATAGTCAAGTCCGAAAAAAAGCTTTACTAATAATATTATAAACAACGAGAAATAAGTCCAATTTGATTGGTTGACATATTTACCTCAAAATAATATCTTTCATATGAATATAACAATGTACAAGACGAAAATCATTCATAAGACTAGGTGATAATGATGCTGATTCGATTAATAAACATATTAATGTTTTATAAACATGTGCCATATCTACTGATGATAGATCACATGTTTCTTGACGTAAATTATTCACACATTGAGATATACATCGAGCATCTATTCAATACAAAACAAGATTTGTGGAGTTTTTTTGCTTTGATTATTCGAAAAAGAATTTCATTTACTATGAATGCATTGAATAGCAGATGGTAATGTATGTTTTCCAATTAGAATAAGCATATCAGATGCTTATTTTCTCCATGGTTGATTTCGTTCAGAACAATTACTTGATATTGCATTGAATAATAATAAAAGATCATCACAACGAGTTAATTCTTCAACACATGAATTGGACATTGTAATACGAGATAAAAGCTAAATAATAATAGAAATATTTAAAATATCTTTGTTCTTTTTGTACATCTTCTTGAAAAAAAAATTTGTTGAAGTAATATACGTTTTTCTTTAGGTGATATAGTATCATTATTTGAATGATTTGTTGTTGAAATTTCCGGTAAATCAAAAAATAAATATAAATATAAATATTTAGNATTACATTTTGCCGGAGATGTGGACATTACACTAAAAAGTCCCGATTTTGACTAAATCACTGAGTAGTCGTCGGTGTGGTTCTCATAACTTTTTTGTTATATGATGAATTGAGCTCATATTTTGGGTTTAGTAGTTTCAACTCATGGGCTATCGATTCCACTAATAAAATAATGGGATCAAAATTTTCGGGAGTATGGTCTATATAAAAATTGCTCGATTGGCTGGCAGACCCTCTCTTAATAGCATTAAAATCCACTATTGAAAATGTACTTCATCAAAATATTCAATCTTTTTATAAGAAATTAAAAAATTAAAAAAAAACGCTCAATTGTATTCTTCAGTGTCATTGATGAATTTTATTGAGAAAAATCTTACTAACAAATAAGTCTTAAATAAATTAGAGTTTATAATTATTTTCTTGGATTTTCTTTTCACTTCTTCTCCATGAGAAGAACTTTTATTTCTATAAAAAATGATAGAGAATCTCAACAACTATACGAATTAAAGTTCTTGTGTAATACCATTAAAAAAATTTATACTAGACAAAAAAGCCACATTGCAATTTTTAAAAGATGCTATCGATTTAAATATCTGTTTGACTTATGTACGAGAAAGGATCGTAATTTCTCATTTGATATAAACATCACAATATTTACAATTGTTCTAAGAGAAATTTACCATAATTAGAGGTTTATGTTAATGCATTGATCTATAACAAGGGTAACTGGAAATTTTCAAAAATTTTCTTTGTTTTGAGAAATTTTGAAATACAAAAAAGAGAAAACAATAGTGAAGAATGTGTTGATAAAAAAATAGATTAAGAACATCCTTGGAAATTCATTCTAGATTATACAAATTTTCAAAAATCTTGTACTTATTTACACCAATAGAGCAGCAAAAGAGATATCTTCAAAATTTTGCTGTATCAGCAATTCAACCAACACCTCTACTGATGATTTACTTAAGAACACGATAAATATTGATGAAAAAAAAATGATTAATGATATTTGACATATGAGAAACATTTTTCTCTTTGTCATCTAGATCATATCTCATATCCAAAGCAATGAATCTTCCTTTTTGACAGATGCATCTCAACATTGTACAAGAGTAAAAGGAACATGATTATAGTTTTAACACATAGTTTTCAATTGCCCTATGATAAATGACTAGCAGCTATTTAATTTCAATTACATCTTTTGACTTTTGTTGTGATGCACGAAAGTTCTAATTAAAAGATTGATATCGTGTGACAAATATTCAGTCAAAAATATAATCTCTCAATAACATTAAATTTTAAGTGTCATGACACTGTGTACCCTTTCAAATGTAGTCATTTTTTAACATTAATCCTTGTATGACAACACACATATCTCAGTTACATAGATCAAAGTTTTTTTCAATATACAATAAAAAGAAAGAAAGAGTAAAAATACCTCGTAATACAATAAAAATTGTGATCAACCAGGTATAAATTGTGCAATTTAATTTGATAGAAATGTATGTTTTCTCATTTAGTAAAATGTTTTCAATTTGTTGAATGTTGCGCAAGTACTTTCTTAAACTTTTAACGTTCCTTATCAATCTGTAATATATATTATTCAAAAACAAAATTATATTCTACAACTGATTGATTATTATTTCTAATTTATTACACACAATTGAGTAGATTTGATACAGATTTGTCGAGTGATACTGTTTTTTTTTTAACTACATCAATCGTGTTATTCTAATCAGCATTGTAACAGCTTGTAAAATAAGAACGAAAAGTGACCTTGAGAAAAACAGAAAATATTTTATTCAAATTTTTTTTCAAATGATCACTGCTTAGTTTATTTTTAGAGCAATAATATCAAAACTTGCAATGAATAGGCTATCATTGTATATTTGTATAGTAAATATTGATTTAAGATAAAGAGAAAAAAATGAAGAAAAGAATTAATTTTCAGGTTAAACTAAAGAAAAAGAAAATGTATGTTCTCTTTTTATTGATATAGTATTATTACAGTAAGTTGTTTTCAAATTTATCAAACAAAAAAATGTCAAAGAACATGTTCATAGTTTTTAATATTATATTCTGATCTGATGAACAGAAACATTCATTTTATAAAAGAATAAAAAACGACTTTTGTTTGACAATCAGTGACATCTGTTTTAATTTAATAAAGAAAAATAAAATTCTCATAAAACAGATTGCAAATAAAAATTTAAATAACTTATATTTTATTAAACAATCCTGATGCACGAATAAAAAAAATAAAACGAATCGAATGTCAGTACTACTGATAATTGAAATAAATGTACCTTAGCAAATAACTGAATTCGACGTGACACCGAATGAATAAATGTCTCGTATTGTTTGTTGTTTTTTTCTTCTGTCCTTTCGATCAGTCAAACGATCAACATAAATGTATGCTACTCAATGAACCATAAAATCGAGAACGATTAACGCATAAAATAAATCTCAATCTTTATTCATAATGTTTTATTTATGATTTTTGATCGCTATGATTAAAAGATTTTTTTTTTTTAATTCTATTCTTTTTCTATTTTGAAATTTTCTAGATGTCTTCCTCACAGGAACCCTCAAATAATTCTAATACTAACAATTCAACTTATCAAAATCATTTATCAGATTACGAAAATGATGAATATCTGTATAAATAATCATACAAATCTCTTAATTTGAATATTTATTCATTTTATATTTTTCAGAAATCCACAAATATATTCTCAACAACAAATATCAGGTCAGGCTTTTGACAACAGAGGACAATCGTATGTTATAAAAATTAATTTAAATATATATATATGAATTTAATATTTTTGAATTATTAATTAGTTATGAAAATGATTTATTTCAACAAATGTATCCTTTTCAAGATGATGCTGATGAAGATTTACCAAATGAAATAGTTGCTGAATTAGATGCAAGAAATCGTATGCAATCAAATATTAATGAAGAAGATGATTCGGTCTTTTCTGATATTGTACAAGATGCTTTTAAAAAATATCAAAATGAGGTATATAAATATATATATATTTATATAAAATACGCATTAGATAATTTTATTTATATTTGTTGCATAGTCAAAATACTGATCTCATAATGATACGGTATTATTATGAAAACAACAAAAAAATGACGAAGTTTTAGAAAGAGAATTTTATTTTTAGATATGCAATAAAAAGTTCTCCAAAGAAGACTTAGTTATTTTAATAATAAAGTATCTGCTTTCCTTTTTCTTTTGACTATTTTAAATGCTAAAATCTAACGAATAATTTAATAATCTGAATTTATTATTGTTTGTAAGGCTTTGGTTTTAGAATTTTATTCGTTTATTTTTTAGCAAGATGAATTATATTCTCAAATGGAAGAATGTTGGAATTATATGGCTACCGAAAATAATTCTGTTGATACGCCAAAAGCTCCAGTAATTAAAATGAATTTACAATATTGAGAAGATTATTTAAATAAAATTATTTTAGATTGAACAACCTCAACAAAGTAAATTAAATCCGGATGCAGTTGAATTTAAGCCAACATGGTTAACATCTACATCAAGTACAACAACAAATGAAGGATCCTTTGTTATCTTGACATCTAGTCAACCTGAAGCGTCACAAAAAAAAGTTTAAATGTTTGTTTGCTCTTCTCGAAGAAAAAATCTACCATGTATATTTACCAAAAAAAATTCATCTTTGTGACATCGTCTTTATTTTTTGTTCTATATATTTTTTTCTACTCTTCATACATCTACGAAAGGAATAGAAAAAAAAAGAGAATATTTGTCGACGTTCTGCGTCTTGGCATAACTGCTTATATGTTAGTGATTTTTATCGTAAAAGAAAAAAAAAAAAAAGAAAAAGAAGGAAATTTTTTTTAATGTCGACTAAAACTACTGACCTTCAGAAGAATTATATGTAGATGTTTTTTTATCGTTACTTATTCTTTCTTTCTCATTTCAGATGACGTTACAATAGATTCGACGAAACTTTTCTTTTTTTCTTTTTCGAATGTCGTTTACCATTGAAAAATGACTATTTTGTCATTTGAATTTATCGTTTCTTTTTTCTTTTAACTTCAATGTTTTATTTCACATCTCAAATGTAATAATACTTTTTCTATTTATTTTTATTTTTGTTTTTATTTACAGTAGATTGATTTTGTTTCATTATAAGAAAAAAAGAAAGATGACAACTATCCGGTCTCGCAAATCACATTCTTCATGTAAACATGTTTGCAGTAAATGTCGTTTACGTGATACAGAAAATTTATCTCTTGATACAAGTCATTTATCTATACCTATGACAGATACAAATCCAAATCCAACTAGAATTTCATATGAAAATACACCATCACCATCATCGAATGGATCAACAAGTACAATTGAACAATCATCTAAATATGGTCATCGAATATTATCATCAACTTTAAAAAGTAGTAAAACTTTCTTTTTTTTTTTCAAATAAAATTTATTTATTTGTTTTTTTTCTGTAACAAACAAAAGATGATCATTCCAATATTTCTATTAAACGTCGTTCTCGTTGTGATAAACTTTTTCATTATACACAAATGATTAATCGACAATATATGATAACAATGACAAAAATTTTATTTCAAATGCAAAAGGAAGTTTATAAATTAAAACGACGTACACATCATGTTGAACAATTAGTTATTAAACAAACAAAAAAAGTTCAACCAATTATTCGTATTCCTCGTTTAACAAAAGGTTGTTAAAACAAAAAAAGACAATAACATTATATTCTCATTTCGTAAACAATTTTTCGCTTCTTATTTAGATCAACTTTCAACAATTTGTATTAATAATAATGAAGAAATTTTACAACATACTTTAGAAAAATCTGATAATAATAATAATAATATTAAAATTATAGAAAATATAAAACCAAATACAACAAAAAGTCTTAAACGTTTGAGTATGCAATGATTTAGATTTTCTTTTTCTCATTATAACTTTCTCTTTTTCTTATTAGAAGATAAACATAAACATACAAAGAGTGTATTAGCTCTATCAAAAAGATCTCAACCAACTATTTGGATAAACAATCGACAAAAACCTATTGATCCAAATAAATATTGTTCATTTTGTCGACATGAATTTTCAAAACGATCAAATTTCTTAATACATGTTAGAAATATTCATAAAGGAATTTTACCCCCACTAATCAATGAACAAGATCAATCATTATTAGAAATGAATGAAGAACATATGGAAAAAAAATTTAATGAACCTACAGACAATTCTTCGTGTGAAGCAACAAATGATCAAACAAGTAAATATATTATTATAAGAAAATTTATTTTTATTTTTAAATAGTTGTTATTTTTGATGATAAAATAGACTCATCACAGATTGTTGTTGATCAATGGGATATTAGTGATAGTAGATTACGTCCACGAACAGGTGCTAAAACAATTCATGAACCTCCACCAATACATGCTAAAGTTAAATGTGATATTTGTAATAAATTTTATCGTGAAAATTATTTGAAGGTAAGCATATGATAAATTTCAGAAATCAGTAATCTTGTTTTAAGTTTGCATAAGAAGAAAATTAGGAGATTCTTTTTCTTATCAAGACGAATATAATGAAGTTTGTCTTCCAAGTCGAAGAGTATATGGTGGCTTCCTTTTTCTTTTTCTTATCTTGAACAAAATATAAAACTCCCATCAATATAAGTGCTTATGTTTTTTTTCCCCTTCTCATATTCATTTGATAATGAGAAACTTTTCTTTTGAACTGTATTAAAAAGAAAAAAGAAAAGATAATCATTTTTTAAATTTGATAGAAAACTGAGTAAAGAATTTTTAAGATTGAATAAATTAACGATTTCAATTTTTACTTCGATTATTCTCGAAGAATAATTATTCAAAATATTAAAAGAAGGAAAAAAAGATTTGATTGATAAAACAGCCGTTATTTATCTTTTCATATTATTAATTGTAACCTATCATTTTTGATAATATCTCAGACAAAACACATTAAGACAAAGTTTACATCAACAATATATTGATAGTAATCAAAAGAATCTAGGTTATAGTATTCTCTACTGTACTTATTCTTCATTATATGAGAGAGCGGGCATGCTTCGATAATTATGCTCTTATGTTATTAGTCAGTTAACAATCATCCACTAAAATATATACGCAAAATAGAAAAGGCGTTCAACTAATGACATTTGATACGTATTATGCAAAAAATAAAGTTAAAATAAATAGTATTTATTAGGAGTCATACAGTGTATAGAACTTTTTCAATCAATTTAAATGAATAAGAACAGAATTACAAAATCAACAAGGTTCGCCTACAGTCATTATTTATGTTTGCTTTTAATTCTATCCGAACAAAATAATCTATTATTCTGTTTTGATTATTATTTCATTATCAAAAAAAAAATATGCAAATGGAAACTATTTTACAAAAACTATGACTGACGTAACACTATGATAAAAATTAGGTTTCTTTTTCTTTTCCATGTTTCTCATTGGTTTACAATCTAACTGAATAATCATGATAAAAAAAATTGAAGATTTAGAGAAATCACATGATTTTGCTAATCAGGAAAACACTTTCAATTGTAATTTCATCGTTTCAATTTATATTGGACTCACAAGAAAATCTCATAAAACTAGAAAAAACTTAAAAGGATTCGTACACATGAGTCTTTGAAGTCGAATTATAATTGTTTTACTAAATTTTCGATCTGAAATTCAGTCTATCAATAAGTGTAATGACTCGGAGAATATTCTGAAAGTTTCAGCTGTAAATTACAAACTGATGATTTAATAAAAGCATGTCAAAAAAATTGATATAATAATTTTTAAATTACATTTCATTTTTGTGAGATTGTTACAATGTCTATTATTTTTGACAAAGCAATTTGTTTAAAATATAAAACAACAAAGAAAAAGAATAAGAAAATGATGACTATAAATCAACAATAGAATTTTATCGTTAAGAAAGAATCATATTGAAGTGAAACGTTTGAGGTGCCTAGTTACGTATAAAAAAGAAATTTCAACATTATATCTCATTTTTAGTGGAAACTCAATCAATTTTAGTATATTTTATCATATTTACTTTTCTTGTGTTTTTATAGTCTCTAATGGCATTTAGTCAACTTGACTGAACCAGTTTTTTTTTCTTCTTTCGCCAGACAAAATTGTTTTCCTTTGGTGAAGATCATTTTTGTTTTTTGAAAGAATGAACTTTCACGTAAAAAAGCAATATTTGAGTTTATCTCTTATTGTGATGGAATATCACTGAAGACACATCATCAAACAACTGTTGTAAGAAAAATTGACTATTTTTAGACGAAAAATCGTTTTTTCAAATAGAGATATGACTCAAAGCCATTATGATTATGAAAGAGCACATATGTGTCGCTAGCTATACCTTTTTCTCGAAAAGTAATTCATCACTAAGTTCGAAGATTAAAAATTTATTCATTGGTACTATTACAATTGAATTCTTTCTACGTTGATTTTATTTTTCAAAACTTTCGCAATAGAGAAAACTCATGAAAGAGTCAAGATACTTTTTGTCGATGATAGTTAAGTCAAGTTATTTTTAGAATAAAATATAAGACAAATTTAGATGCAATTTAATAATGGAACAGAATTCAACCTTAAAAGTATACCAGAAAAAAGGAACTTGATATGCTATACACTCTGTTTATCTTTTATTTTTTTTATGTTGTCACGTTGAAATCAACGTGCCGGAAAAACTAAATTAGACAGGACATTTATCAAAGTTATTTTGACTGTCAATGTTAACAGCTGGAAATCTGTAATTTTGTAGAAAAAAGAGAAAGGAAGATACAAAGGAGTAAATTGTTAAATATTATCAATAGATTTTTCTAATCGAGACAGTAACGCAGATGAGACATTAACAAAAGTTAATATTGAAAAAAAAAACAACCTTATTAAAGATTTCTTTATTTCTCATAGTTACATAAAAGACGTGCTCATCCCGATCAGGAAATGTTATCATTATCATCAAGTGAAATAAACAATAATTTTGATCATTGTGATTCAGTTTCTGATAAACAAATTGATCAATGTGATTTATTAAAAAATAATCCTACATTAATAAGTGGGTTAGATATTCAAAATGCAAATACACCAGCTGCAATAACAATAGCTGAAATGGATACTGATGATGTACCCATTCGCTTCTGTGTATGTTGTTTTTCTTTTTAATTTTCTATGACTTACTAAATCATTCTTTTATTGATAATATTCAGGCCGATTCTAATAGAACGATTGTTCTTGCTGTAACATGTCTTGAAAGTTATCAATTAGTAAGTTTTTTGACATTAATAAATATTCTTGTATTGTCTTTTTTTGTGTTGGTAGGATTTAGTTGAACAATTTGTAGAAAAATTTTCATCACATGTTTGTCAAACAACATCAATCGATTGTCGAACAACACACTTACTAACGAATGATGATAAACATTCATTACGTTCACCATTATCAATGAAATTAATTGAAGCTATAGCTCATCATTGTTTTTGTGTATCATATCGTTGGATTATTGATTGTCTTAAATATGATCGAATTATTGATGAAACACCATATGAAATTGAAGGTGATGATACTGATATTCAGCCACATGGTGGTCCACGCCGTTCACGTTTAATACAAAGTCAACATTCACTTTTTCAAAATATATGTTTTATGATAAAATGTACAGAAAATCCTGATATAAGAATGACAAATGAACGTTTAGAAGATTTAATAACAACATGCGGTGGTCAAATAATAACATGCGTTACACAACGTTTACTTGACAAATATCAAATAATTGTTCTTTGTGATATGTTATATGTATCTGAACGACGTCATAATTATGATCAATGTCGTTCATTAGGCATACATTTTGTATCATCTGATTGGGTACTTGAATCTATACTTGAATATCGTCAAAAACCATTTTCATTATTTGAAGAAGTGCCATTGTGATTTTCAAAAGTTTTTGTTTTTGTTGTTTTCTCTTTGTACAAATGTTTCATTTCTGTGTTTGTTTTGTTCTTCTTTTTTTACGATGATCATGATGATGAAAAAAAAATGAAATCCAATAAGTTTAAAATGTTTTTCTTTCTTACATTTGTTTGTTTGTTTTTTTTTGTAATAGAGTAAAATTTACAAAAATAAAAAAAAAAATTAATAATAATAAATTTACTTGATAGAAATCAAATTAACCTCTATACATTTTCTTATAAGATGCTTGTATTGATATGATAAGAAATAATATCTCAGATGAAAAAACACCATTGTAAACGTTCCTATGCTACGAAATACGTCAAAAAACGATTGTTGTATATAACCATCATATACTGTCAACTTATACGATGCTATATGTTCAAACATGGATAATGTATGCAATGAACACATACAATTGTTGTATACAAGAATTATAACCGGGTCAATTGAAATGGTTGGATTGGCTGGTGTTGATCGGTTGGAAAATATTTTATAGATACAGTCGCCAACACATTAGAAGACCCAGGTTCTTCTATTCTGTCTTATCATTCATAAGCTATAAGAGAGAGTTTTCTATTATGCCTTGTAAAAATAGTCAGAGCTTTAACTACTCTAAATGATATCATTTTTAGAAGTCTTTTTGAACAGATTATGTTTTTTTCTAAACATTTATCTCATTTTTCTACGTGAGTACAGTTAATAAAAATATTCTACATGCTATCACTAAAGAACATTTCACAATACGAGCATCTGGATTACAAAATGTACTAAATCACACAAAATACGATGATTTGATACTTTTTAGTAGGAACTTTCTTCACAGAATAAAAGAATTTCCTCATAAACTGTTATTATTTCATACAATCAATTAGAAAGAAGTTAGATTTTCTCGTTTGCTGGCATATCCTTCAAGGTCAACTGTCTGCATTGAATTTTCATTATTGAACTTGTAATTTGTTCATCTCTTTCGGAATACGATTCGTGATCAATGTAGTCATGTCCGATATTTAATGGCAGTAGATAACAACATATGATCCCATCATCATCTGTAAGAGGTGTTTTTGGGGCATTGCCTTTCATATACTGTAAACATACGTTCGTTAATTACATTTTATATTTTTCGAATATAGATTGTCTTAAATGCCATAAAGAAGAAAAAAAATTGAAGCGAAGCTGAGAAACGCATATTTCTAGAAAAAAAACAATAAACATGATAGAAGAGCTAAAAAAATCACCTATTTGCGGGGGGGGGGGGGGGAGCTTCTAATCTGTGTTTTAGCGTTGTTTATTCAAGAGAGAGAGGTCTTCTAATGTGTGGATGTCTTTATGCTATTTTTTTGTGATAAAAATTTTTGAGAGCAAGATTGCTTGCTCTTATCAAAATAATCAAACAATAGCGTTTTCAGAACTAATTATCAGAGCTGGGCAAGTACGTACTTTCTCGAGTACGAGTAGAAATTTTCTGAGTATAGTCTTAAATAAAAAGTAATGTGAAAAACCCCTTTTTCTATGTACAACTCATTTTTAACTTCTCAGGATTTTAGTATTGTATGTTTTTCCTCCGTGTAATAAATAGTACATTGGTCAGTGTGCGGGATATTACTCTAAGCTCCTAAAATACTTAGTGAGAAACAGACGTTGGACGAAAGTACTTCCCGGTACTTTCTTATTGTAGAAGTAATATTCTTTCACACTTTGACAGCTATATACTTATAGACCTTATTTTACGCGTCATAGCAGCGATTACAAAATGATACACTCTGTTTTTCGATTCATATGTGTTATTGTCAAGAAAACAAAAAGTACTTAGCATTTTTTTGGACATTGTAAAAATGGTCAAAATTTTTTAAGTACTTCTTGTTCCTTTTACCAATAAGACATGTGAATTGAAAAATAAAGTATACTATTTCGTAGCCGCTGATGTGGAATGTAAAATAAGACTTATAGGTATATAGCTGTTGAAGTGTGGAAGAACATTACTACTACAATAAGAAAGTACTTATGTCCAATGTCTAGTGAGAAAATGACATTCGTAGCTCTAGAAATTACCATACATACGCACATTGATGCCTAGAAAGAATATAGCAAGAGGAAAAAGTCAAAATTTGATAAAATTTCCATTTATTGTGAAGCTTCTGGAAAATTAAATTATAACCAAAGTATACTGTATTTGGGCAAAGCAGATAAACAAGCAATTTTTTTTCTAGTTGACGATATTTGACGTAGATGCATAAAATAGCTATTCTGAGTAGAAAGCGTGTTCTGTGGAAGCAGCTGTAGCTGGTATTATCAAGTATTTCAACCAAGTCAACATATTCATAGGTAAATGTTTTTGAAAAAAAAGTAAATTATCTTCAGTATGCTCTTCATAGAAAAAGGCGTTGCTTTCGATTTAAATTTCCGACTTTTCGTTGAGTGAACTTTTTCAATTGGTTAAAATGAGGGAAAAAACACTATCTTTTGCCAAGCAAACCATTTTTATTTGCTGTAGCATCAGGATCACTTGGTTCACTAGTGTTTGACGCATCGGCTCAAATATCATGGAGCATTGAAAGCTAAAATTCAGAAAAAGATGGGTCAAGTCACTAAGAATCTTTTCAGGAAGACGTACTTTTACAACAATATGACGGTTCAGAAGGAATACTAGTTTAAAATGTGGCTCACAAATGACAAAATCAAAAAGAAGGTTACATCTGGAAACCATTCTCATATAGAGATAGAATTGAAAAATACATCAGTTTCAAAATAAAGAAGAAGTCTACCAAACTTAGCTTTAATTGATGCAATAAGAGTTTCATATGAAAGAATGACAATTAAAATAGAAGAGCTAAATTCAAGCTCGAGATCAAAAAGGATATCAGGAACAGTGGGCGCAATAAGAATGGTACTAGCAAATAATTCTCTATGAACTACTATAGACACTTCGCTAAATAGTTGAAACAAAGATAAGAAACCTTCAGAAATTTCTTGATCGACCAAGAAGTCCTCAGCGATTCGCTCCATTTTCAAACAGAACACATATTAAATTTTAACAGAAAATGTCCTATACGTTTCAAACTGTTCAATATAGAACCATCGAGTATATGTTCGAGTTTCAACCCTCGAGTACCGACCCCCGTGTGCGAGTACCAGTACGAGTACGTGCGAAATCATACTCGAGTACGAGTACTTTGCCCAGCTCTACTAATTATTCATTTTGTTTCATTTTTTCGTGTATGCAGTTTTATTTCTTTAACGGAAGTATATTTGGTTTTTTGAAAACTACAATTGAAACTGTGTTCCTTGAGAAAAGCTGTATCATATATATTTTGGTAATGATCAACTTTAGGGTTGTCTTGTCGTCCAGAGAGAAACGTTAGGTTCGTCTAAAAAGGCTGAGTAAGAAAAATTAAGATTTGCGGTTCGACAAGTAGTTGAAAAGTAAATGACTTTTTTCGCGCTATATATAGAAATGTCGCATACTCACCCTTGAGAAATCTAACAAGTATAAATGACTAGAATATGATATTTCTTTCTGGCGATTTGCACAATTCTGAACAAAAACAAAGAAAACGAAAGTTTTCTGAAGTCATTCTCATTAACCAACCATTAACGAATTAACAAACTGGCAACTTTTTGTCGGTTTTCACCGGTCTACAATTTGAATCTGACAAATTGAAACAGTTAACGAATACTCGACTGATGAAAATCCTGGGCTAGCCTCTATTTCTGCCATTGGGAGTTATATAATCGAATTGGGAACAAAGCTGATTACAATACAGTATTTCAGAGAAGATGAATGTAGAAATCTGTAGGTATTCAGAACGAAATGTTGCCCTTAATACCAATTCGATCATCTGAGAAAGCCTTGTGAACTCACAGGTTTTTACGGATGTGGAAATCTTTTTAGACCGGCTGGACCGGACTGGTCTAGTATTTCTTGACCCGCTACTACTCTAACGTCGATTTGAATGCGGTTGCGCAGGTGATGGTGTGGATGTTGGTTAAGGAAAGGCTTGAATACCCACCTCTATCCCCATATCCACATCTGCTGCTACCCCTACACCCCACACTCACACCTACAATCACAACCCGCCTGATATTCCACCTTGAAGAGAAAAGTAATTTGGCATCGCTCTTCTAGCTGCAAGTGTTTTTAAATTAACACGCACAAAAAAAGTTTTTCGCCCGCTGGAATCGACAATGTTCGACCACATAATAATTGCAATAGCACTATCACTTATTTGCCGCAGATAACTATACTTCCGAAAGAGATCCATTTTTGAAACATTTTCTAAAATTTTCTACGCAAAATGGCAGGTTTCGAAGGCACTCAGGTCGAATAACTCGGCCATGAATGCGCGAATTTCACTAGTTGGGTATTCACTACATTACAGACTGCATATTGTCCTTGACGACACACGAATACAGAGACAAACGGGCAATGAAATACTGTCATTTAATCTAGATCACAGAATGCACTATAAAAAAGATCTACTTTCTTGAGATCCCATAGGAGATTTTCGGTAGCTATCCGCAAAACGATTCACTAATACGTATCTGTTGCCTTATCGTAACCGCTTAGTCTATCTCCTTAATCTAACTATTCAATCTACATTTAATCCCTTATTCTATCTCATACATGTATCCTGTTAGTCTAACACCTTTATCTATATCTGTCTACTGACACCAACCCCGTAATCTAACTTGCTTATGTTGATTTGAGTTTCATATTCGCGAACATGTGTCCGTAGTATAAGGAAACAAAAAACTCCTTGATGTGAACTCATTAATTTCGTCAAAGTCCTTTAGTTCTTGTGACTGTTAAAGCGATAACTATGAAACCACTGTAAGCTCTCAAGTGTATATGACTGTTAGCTCGAGAGTCATATTGTCCGCTGAGATCTTAAAGTCTTTAAGTCTGCCAAGGATTTATACATGATGTCAGTCAAAGTGATGAATCTTATAGAGACTGAGACATGATCTTAATGAAATCTCTC